ATGGTGGCATCGAGGAAGAGGAAGACAGAGAGAGGTACATGGAAGGTGCAGACAACAAAGATGAACCCTTTTACACTGTGTTGTCAGTGAAGGCAAACATGGGTATATGGGTGGACAGGCTGAAATATTAGGTATGTCTATACAGTGGGGAGTGTACCCAAGACCATGTATAGATTTGGAGACAGTGGTCCTATAAGTTTATTTGTATGATCTTAAGAATTCCCAGGTGTATAGTAGAGCTGACAAGGGACATGGTTGTAGTCACTTCTTGGTCACAGCCAGCTACCCAGAGGAACTGAGCAGTTGAACCTGAGGGTTCGGGACCAGGATTGCAGGGGACATCAAGCTCAATTGGTATAACATCCTACACAAAACATTGTTCCACCTCCTACTTTGGCGAGTAGCGACTGGGATCATAAAAGCTTCCAAGCAGCCATCTAGATGCAACGATGGGTCTCTCCTCACCTGAAGCCAAGAAGAATGAAGAAAACCAATGATTCATGAAACAATTAGTCCTGGCAACTTTTACACTATGCGATCCACAGCCTATACAACTATGAGACCAGAACTAGATGGTGCCCAGCTACCACTGTACCACTGTCAACCATTCGGAGGGGGGTCTATGTAGGAGATCCTGGAGAGAGAGAGAGAGAGAAACAACAATGTGGAACAAAACTCAAAATCATTTGGGTGGGGGAGAGGTGCAGGCAATGTGTTTGCTGGTCTGATAGAGCTTGGTGGAACCACTGAGACTATGGCCCCTAGCTGCCCTTCAGGTCTGGAACTGAACCCACACCTGTGGCATCTAGCCAAACAAAAGACCAGCATAGGAGTTGACCATTTACGTGAGGTAGATACACTCCTTGGAGAGAACAATCATGGGAGAAAGAAGGGCTGTTTATGCACAGGGAGACAGCTCAAGGGGCAGGAGTCCATGGAGGGATGGACACAAGGAAGAGGTAACTATTGGGAGGAAGTGGGAGGGGAGCTGTTGCATTGTAGTAAATTGTAGTCAATGTCATGAGACAAAATGTTTATGAACTGCTGTATGGAAAGTTAATTTGCTCTGTAAATTTTCACCCAAATCACACACACACACAAAAAAAAAAACCCAGTCAATTATTATAATGAAATGTGCAAAGACATGGAGTTAGAAAACCAAAAGGGAAGAACACACTTGGCATTTCTCAAGCTAAAAGAACTGAAGAAAAAATTCAAGCCTTAAGTTGCAATATTGAAAGATTCTATGGGCAGAATATTGAATAATGTAGGAAGCATCAAAAGAAGATGGAATATATAGAGTCACTGTACAAAAAAAGAATTGGTTGATGTTCAGCTATTTCAGCAGGTAGCATATGCTCAAGAACCAATGGTACTGAATGAAGGAGGACGTCAAAGCTGCATTGAAGTAACTGGCTAAAAACAAGGCTTCAGGAATTGATGGAACAACGATTTTGAGATTTTTCAGCAAACTCATGCCACACTGGAGGTGCTTACTCTTCTATGCTAGGTAATTTGGAAGCTACCTGGCCATCTGACTGGAGGAGATCCAAATTTGTACCCATGCCAAAGAAAGGTGATCCAACAGAATGTGGAAATTATTGAACAATATCACTAATATCACACGTAAGTAAAATTTTGCTGAAGAAAATCAAAACTGGTTGCAGCACTGTATTGACAGGGAATTTCCAAAAATTCAAGTTGGATTCACAAGAGGATGTGGAATGAGGGATATCATTCCTGATGTCAGATGGCTCTTGACTGAAAGAAAAGAATATCAGAAAAACGTTTGTGTATTATTGACTGTGCAAAAGCATTTCACTGTATGGATTGTAACAAATTATGGATTACATTGCAAAGAATGGGAATTCCAGAACATTTAATTGTGCTTATAAGGAACCTGTTCACAGACCAGGAAGCTGTCATTTGAACAGAACAAGGGGATATTGCATGGTTTAAAATGAGGAAGGGTGTGTGTTGGGGTTGTATCCTTTCATTGTACTTATTCAATCTGTGGGCTGATCAAATAATTTGAGAAGTTGGACTATATGAAGAACAATATGGCATCAGGATTGGAGGAAGGCTCATTAACAACCTGCAATATGCAGATGACACAACCTTATTGCTGAAAGTGAAGGTGACTTGAAGCACTTACTGATGAAAATTAAAGAATGCAGTCTGCAGTATGGATTATAACTAAATATAGAACAAAAATCCTCACAACTAAACCACTAAGTAGCATCATGATGAATGAAGGAAAGATTGAAATTATCAGGGATTTCATTATACTTGGATCCACAATTAACACCCTAGGAAAGAAGAGTCAGGAAATTAGATGTATTGTACTTGGGAAATCTGCTGCAAAAGACCTCTTCAATGTGTTGAAAAGCAAAGATGTCATTTTGAAGACTAAGGTGTGCTTAACCCAAACCATGATATTTTCACTCAGCTTATATGCACATGAATGCTGGACAATGGATGAGGAAGACCGAAGAAGAGTTGATGCTTTTTGAGTTTTGGTGTTAGTGAAGAATCTGAGAATACCATAGACTGCCAGAACACACAAATCTGTCCTGGAAGAAATGTAGCTGGAATGCTCCTTGCAAACAAGAATGGTCAGACTTTGTCACACTTACTTTGGTCATGTTGTCAGAAGGGACCATTTCCTGGAGAAGGATATCATGCTTGGTAAAGTGGAGGCTCAGTGAAAAAGGAGAAGACCCTCAACAAGATGGATTGACACCACAGCTGCAACAATGGGTTCAAGTATAGCAAGGACTGTGAGGATGGTGCACAACTGGGCAGTGTTTCGTTCTGTAGTGCATGGGGTTGCTATGAGTTGAAGCCAACTCAGTGGCACCTAACAACAACAGAGTCATAATTCAATTAGTATATTTATTGAAGTACCTATGTCAAGTCCATCGAATTCTTTTGCATAATATCCCTAATATCTATTGTCAGTCTAATTCTACTCTTTTAATTTATAGTATAATGGTTTCAGTATATTCAATAGTGCATACAGATTCTTACTTAGAAACATCTATTTTGTGCACTTCAACATCTGAGATCTTTTATAAACTCACAAGAGGAGATGGACCACATACACACCCATCCCAAACTAAAAAAAAATTAAACCTGCTGCTGTCAATTCTGACTCATGGAGACCCTATAGGGCAGAGTAGAACTTCCCTATAGAGGTTCCAAGACTCTAAATCCTGATTTAATCAAAGATTCAGAAACATATCCACTAAGTTTTTGAAGACCTTAAGAGACTATAATTTGGAATATTCAATTATTTTTAAACACCTTAAATTTTTTAACTTAAAACATACACATTTATACTCATGTATCAATCTTTTGATGCAGAGTCAAAAGCCTTCTTGACTATGGACTTATGATTGGTATTCCCCTACTTTTCCTTCTATAAACTACATCCATAATACATGATCAGTCATTTTCAGTATTATTTAATGTGGAACAAGAATGTAAACAGTTGCACAGCAGCTGCAGTAAAGAATCCTTCCAGACCTTGATATCTTTTCTCTGCCAATCTTTTACTGTTGTCATATCCCAAACTAATTTGACAGTATATTTTGGGGGATTCCCCTTATTGAAATCTTCACAAAGCACTCAACTTAGTTTTCATAGAAACAACTCTTGCTTTTAGTATAGTGCTCATAATTTTTTGATATATGGGAAAATCTGCAAAAGCTGGAACCCATGTAAGGCAGAAACCTGTCAGAGAAAGAAAACTAAAATATTTTCCACTAATAGAAAGTGACAGAAAAGTGGCAAGACTGCCTGTCAAAGGCAGAAAACTTGTGAGACCCTGAAATACAAGCCAGTCTATTCAAGTTCCAGCTGTCAGGTTTCATTGTACATTTATTTAATTAAATCATGTAATTACAATTACAACATATTACATATGTTCAGTAAAATAATGAGTAAACATGGAACATTCAACTATATTTTTAACAAGCACATACTCGTATTTTCATTTCTTTCTATACTAAAATTCACGTATGTGTGTTCCCAGTTATTTATCAACCAAGTTTAATGAATGACCCAGAAAACATCATTTCTCGGTGCTGCTTTTCCTTGGACCCTAGTTCCCTAACAGGTGGTTCAGGTGCCGGTAACACTGCCCACACAGGATAGGATCCTCACAGAACTTCAAAAACACTTTTGGTCCACAGATTTTTAATCTTAAGACTTACACCACCATTTTGGACAAACTTGCAATAACAATCTGTGTTCTGTTGAACTTTACACTTCTCTGGTTCTTGAATCAAAGTACCAGCAGTGCCACAGCCTTGTTTGGGGAAAGGATTATTAGCCAGCTTCTTGATCAGCATCTCTGCTTTCAGCTAGTAGTATTCTGCCGTCAGGTGCTGTCATGTCAGTTCTGATGCATAATGACCCTATGCAATAGAATGAAACCCTGCTGGTTCTGTGCTGTCCTCCCAGTCCTTGCTGTGTTTGAGCCCCATGTTGCAGCCACTGTATCAGTCCATCTCATCGAGGGTCTTCCTCTTTTTTGCAGACTCTCTAGTAGAGTCATATAAAGTCCTTTTCCCCCAGTTACCTTCTGATCCTGATATAATGCTCTGTTATCTAGGTGTGTAAAGGGAAATCCTAATAGAAATATAGTAATAGCCCTTACTGTTAGAGGGAAAAAACTTCTGGACTTGGGGGTGGGGTGGGAGACTGATCTTGTTTTTCCTTTAGCTGTTATAGTTCTGTGTAGTCATTTTCATGTATTTTTCAACTTTTACCTATAGTTTCAGAAGGAAGTTTAGTTTTATTTTCAGCTAACAGATACACTTGGAATCCTTCTTTCCTTAGTCTATACCAAAATTGACCTTCCCTGGTGGGTTACTAATTGGTTGTAGTCCTGGTCTCCTGAATGTTCCCAAGATTAAAGGCACCCACACAGCAATGAAAAGTGGAATTTTGGCAGCAGAATCTACTTTTAAGCAACTAACTAGTGAAAATCTCCAATCAAAGACAATAGGTAAGTACTTTCTATTTAAAGTATAGGAAAGAAAATGGTAAGGTTCTTCATTGAAGCATTTAAAAAGAAGCTACTTAAATATATTGTTTTTGTTGTTGTTGCCATTGATTTTGACTCATGGCACCCCTATGTGTACAGAGTAAAGCTGCTCCACAGGGTTTTTCAAAGCTGTAACCTTTTGGAAACAGATTGCCAGAACTTTCTTTAAAAGCACTTCTTGATCAGTTGGAACCACCAACCCTTCAGTTGAGTACTTAACTGTATGCACCAAGGACTCCTTATTTAAACATCCATTATATAGAGAATGAAAATAAATACAGGTATGTGTTGCTTCATGTCTATTCATGCAATGTCTGACCACATATATATCTGTGGTCCCAACAGTTTGTTGTTTTTTTTTTTTTTTTAAAAAAATGAAAGCCACTCTTTTGGTTATTATTTCCCCAAAATGGCTTTAAAGAACCCAAACCCAAACTCTTGAAGCATTGGACTACAGGTGGGGTTATAGGCAAAGGACATGGCTCTAGGCATGGGCTCTGGCTTTGTCTCATGGGTAGATGGGAGGCAGTGGCTATGGAGGACCTGGCTGCTCCTGCTGCCCAGGTGGACGAAACAGCAGGTGGGGCTGTGTACACTCCACTCCCTCCCTGTTTCCTCTTGCTCTCCTTCTCCCACCACCCTCTCAGCTGCCACCATGCTGCCCTTTCTCCACCAGCAGCTCCAGCAAGGACAACCAGAAGTGGGCTCCCATAAGGTTTTCATAGTGTTTGTTCAACATCTTAATCACATAATGCCCTGTTTCACAGAATGTATCATGGACGCTAAGTGACATACACCTAATACAATTAAAACTCTTAAGGTCTTTTTTATGTCTGTTTCAATTAAAGCTTAAAAAATATTTATTCTATCAGTCTCTTTATACAAGGTATTAAGATGTGTGCTGTGCAAGTAAACTGTATTAACATGTCTCTCTTTTCAATTAGAGATTTTTACAGCTATGTTGTTTTATAGTCACATCAAATCACAGAAGAGTACCAGTGATATCCCATCTATTTAGAAACTATTTCACGTTGGAAAATACTTCATTACATGCATGTGATACACAGAATAAGGTACCTCACAAATACTGAAGTATCATCAGTCAAAAATAGAACAGCTTTGTAAACTGTAATTAAACAGCTACCTAATTCTTAGCTGAGTTTGAAAGCAGTCATATGGCCCTTTTGCTGTGTTGCAGAGGGGCAGCCAGCTCTTATATAGCAGTAGATAATTAACCCTTAATCTAAAATGACTGTGTGGTGGTTTTCAGTCAACACTCAACTTCATCTGTTTCTCTCTCCATTCCATCCACAATGGCTTCTTTACTTTTCCTGAAAGGATACTCCCATCTCAGTCTTTGCTCATGTCTGACTTCCTTGTTCCCTTCAACTTTGCTCATGTATCTCTCTCTCTCAGTGGCTTTACCTTGATCACACTATTTAAATTACAACAGAGCACTCCCAGCCCCCAACAGTTTCTCCTATAGTATTTTTCACCTTTTGGCACACTGTTATTTACTTTTTTCTCAAGTGTGCATTTCCTGCTTAATTCAGAACTCCAAGAGAACAAGGACATTGTTCACAAAGCCCCTGGCACACAGTGGGAACTCAATAGATATTTGATAAATAAATCTTATTTCTTAGAATCCCAGCTAACTAATGTCCTTCTAGTTACAAGTATGCAATCTGGTTACACCTTCAAACCTCTTTGTAAGAGTAGAGACCTAGAGTGTGGGAGTGAGAGGAGATATGACACAGAAGGCAAGAGGGGGTACTTCAAGAACAGAATGGACAAGATGGAGTGTACAAGTGGTTAGTGGATTTTTTTTCCTTTTCTTACTAAGTATTTTTGCTTGTTAGAAACTCTCACTGTATTATGTACATACACATAGTACCACACCTAGATAGTAACAAAGACAGGGTGGCACCAGAGACTGAGGATTAAAGCTGTAAAGAAAGAGGAGTAGAGCTAATACAGATGAGCAGTAAAACAGGATGGAGTACATGAAAGCATTAAGAAATGAAGAACTAATTTGTCCCATTAAGTATAAAATACCTACAGTTTTAAGTATGAAGTACTTTCACTGATAAATTATAAAACATTTCCTTTCACAGGTACCATGAACTTTTTATCTGATGCTTCCGTGTCAGTTTCACTGAATTTTCAAGCTAATTTTCCAAGCTATCATATAAAAAGTATTTTACTATTAACAGCGGTCCATATACCAAATGGTTGTTTTTGAAGGTGCCAATATTTACACGTGGAATCCCGAGTAGGATTTTATATGCACACCTTTGTTTCAAAAACTGACGACTAGAGTATTTTGAAGCAGTTCCACACTTAATGTTTCATATTTTTTGAAAAAAGGACTCCATGTAGCAGAGTATGAAGACAATTTGAAGAAATCATGGGTGTGGAAAGAGCTCTATGCTGTTAGAAATATAAGACCATCCTGCCATGGAATCTTGGGTATATATGGAGGGATGATTTACACTGGAATATTTTACTGGATATTTAGAGGAATGGAGCCATGGACTCTAAAACATAAAGGTAATTTAAACATATTGGCGATATATATTTTACAATTATTGAAAAATTTATGAGTGGGATCCATTGATTAATGGACGTTTTAAATTTATCAGAAAATACCTTTAACAAAATTTTCCTATTATAAATTCAGTATCTAAGAAAACTGATTATAATTATAAGACAAAAACTATATTTCTATAATGCTTTCAAGGTTTTTTAGGTTTAAGAAAGTACTTCAAAATTAGCGGTTTTCTTAAAATTAGTTGTTTTTTCAATGAAACACGTTCCTCAAATTGTTGAAGGTTCTGACTCTAGTCAGCTAAAGCCAGCCAAGGATTGTACACCTATTGAGTATCCAAAACCTGATGGACAGATCAGTTTTGACCTCTTATCATCTGTGGCTCTGAGTGGTACAAATCATGAGCATGACCAACCAGCACATTTAACCCTGAAGGATGACAGCATACCTGTAAATAAAAATCTATTGATCTATGATGGACCCGAACAGCGATTCTGCCCTGCAGGTCAGTAGTATGATTTCCATCCATTCCTAAATATTAATACAAATGCTTTAAATATTTTAGAAATATGATTCTGTTAAGAAATGATTTCTATGCTACTACCACAGTTGACAGTAGCTACAATAATGGGCTCAAACACAGCAATAATTGTGAGCATGGTGCAGCAGTGTTTTGTTCTGTTTTATATGGGGTCACTCTGAGTCGGAATTGACTTGACAGACCTAACAACATATAAAACACATGTAAATGGGAACACTACTAATAAGACTGATGATTTCTTTTGTTAATAAGACTAACTCAGCTATACACTGTTTTAATTGCTGTTATGCACAGTGTAATTTATAGTAACAACAACAGCATACACCAAGTTCCTGAGTAAACATTCAGAAAACAAAAAAAGCTTCAGTAACTACTATTTCTGGGATCATAATCTCCACCTTTTAAAGTTAGAAAAGTTAAGTTTTTCAATATTACTTATTTTTTACTTTACAGGAGTTTATGAATTTGTTCCTTTGGAACAAGGTGAAGGATTTCGGTTACAGATAAATGCTCAGAACTGTGTGCATTGTAAAACATGTGATATTAAAGATCCAAGTCAGAATATTAACTGGGTGGTACCCGAAGGTGGTGGAGGACCTGCTTACAATGGAATGTAAATGACAACTGATTTCATTTGCAAGTACATTTGATAGCCAGTTCTTTAAAATGTATGGCAAACTAACTTTAAAATGTGTAAAGGCTAACAAGTATCAAAGTATCTTACAGTGTATGATTGACCAGAATGTTCACAAAATAACTTAGTGAAATAAAAATTTTATACTATACCAAAAATTGTCCCATAAAAATTTGATATAGCCATCTACTTCAGTTCTTCAGATTTAGTTCCAACAGTGAAACACATCAACCTAAATGTACATTTGACTTGTCAAATTCAAGTCTTCAGTTATAAAAATGAATATATATATTCTAGAAGGAGTATCAGCATCTAGCCCATCATATTTTCTTATGAATAAAAACATTACCACACAGCCACACCCACTGGTTTGCATATTGCCTGTGTGAGTCAGGTCCAACTCAATGGCACATAACAACAACATGGCTACTTCTAAGTTACAACTGCAGAACAGAGTACAGGCATACCTCCGAAATACTGCAGGTTCAGTTCAAGACCACAATAAAGCACATGTTGCAAAAAAAAGCAAGTCACGTGAATTTTTTTGGTTTCTTAGTGCATTTACAAGTTATATGTTTACACTATACTGCAGTCTATTAAGTGTGCAATAGCATTATGAAAAAGTTTGAAATATTGTCAGAAAAAACAAAATGACAGAGACGCAAAGTAAACACACGCTGTTGGAAAAAATGGCATTAATACACTTGCTCAATGGAGAGTTGCCAAACTCAATTTGTAAAAAATCATTATCTGCATAGCACACTGAAGTGCAATAAAACAAGGTATGCCAACAGTTGTGACTGGTTCAGAAAAGCCTAAAATACTTATCTCACAGCCCCCTCACATGTTAATTTCCTATACCCATTATACGCATGTGCACATTATTTACACAGGCCCGTTATCTGCAGACATACTACACTTTCCACTAAGCACAGTCCAACAGAAAAGTGATGAATGCACCCTGTCAGAGGTGGAAAACTTACAAGACCAAGAAAAAGTGTCCTGTTCAGTTCTAGCTCTCACAGGTTTCTGTAATGTAAGTCGTTATACTTTCATCTATTTATTCAACAAGATCATGTGTCTTTAGGAGTTTAATAACAGGATGAAAACCATTATTTATGAAAAACAACTGCATGATGGATGTTATCTTGTAACATTGTTTTATTTAGAGTGAAGCCACATCTATCTGTTCCTAAATTGTGAACAAGGGAAAACTGAAGCATAAAAGGAAACATGTTAGCGATCATATACAAGAGACAAACACCCTTAACACTTCTTATTGCCTTTATACTATTATATGCATAATATTAAGCAAGACTGAATTCCTTATTAAGCAAACATTTTTGCATAAGCAGCCTTCTCTTTATCTTTCTGTGCCTTTATCTTTTGTTTGACTTTCAGCAATTCAGCCTGGATAGCTGCAAAATATAAGTTACCAGAATATTAAAAAATATCAGGGTGATCTATAAATGTTTTAATGTTATAGTTAACTCTCCTTTGATAGCTCCCATTAAGTAATGGAGCCCAATTAACACATACCTCTAAAGGACAGTCATTTCCATAAAGAGAAAAATCACAAATAATCACAAATATGAAATTTCAGAACTGTCAAGTGAGAGAATTAAATTATACAAAAACATGCCATATCCTGCCACATAAATTATCCCCACTGCCCCCCGCCCCCAAAAAAAACACCAAACTCACTGCCACTGAGTCAATTATGACTCATAACAGCCCCTCCTTGGGTTTCCAAGGCAGTATCTCTACGGAAGTAGATTGGCCAATCTTACTTCTGAGGAGTAGCTGGTGAGTTTGAACCACCAGCCTTCTGGTTAGCAAATGCCTTAGGCACTATGCCACCAGAGCTCCCATCCCTCTATCTTAGAGGGCAGTTAAGTATCTCTCATTTTACTTTAGCCATAAAAGACCAACGACATTTTTTTGACATCTAGATTTGGTGTCATTATTATTTAGCTTAACTGAAAAACAAGTTTGTTTTTGCCATGGGTGTCCAAGCTTTTCCTTAAAAAAGCATCCACTAGTTAGAATGGTAGGTTAGAACTAAAGGTTAAAATCCTGCTGCAGATTCCTCATTTGTGGCCACATTAAGCTCAAGCAATCATTCCAAAATTTAAGTCCACTGTTGTAAATACTGTATCTTACAGTACTGAGTTTTCAACTAAAATTACAGTAAATAGGAACCAGATATCAAATAATATGGTGGAACAAATAGTACAAGTACTTTTGTACTATTTGTTCAGATATCAGAAAAATTAGTATATTCTGGAGAGCATTAAAATGTAAATTCTTTTAGGGGACTTTCTTGTTCACTGCTGTTTGATCTCTGCATTATCTGTTTAAGAGTAAGTGGCAGAGGGTACAATGATTAATGAGGATAAATTCTTAAAAGACAAAATGAACTTTCACTACAAAAACTACCAACTTACCTTTATCTTCTGGTGCTATCTCCTGGGCTTTCTTCAGATCAGCCTTTAATTGGATAAAACATTTTAAGAAAAATTACATGTATGATTTATAAAGGGTTATTTTTTAAAATTAAACATTTAAAACAAAATTTTACCAATGCTTGATCATATTCTTTTAGTCCTTGCCATCCTTGAGCTCTGCGATACAGTGCTTTGGTATTTGATGGATCTATTTCAAGAGCCTATAAAAATTAAAAAATCAGTATTTATTATATGTAAGTATTAAAAGTGTGTGCAGATTCTCAGTTTATTGCCTGTTAATCCAAATCTACCCCTCACCATTCTGTGATAATGCACTGGATCCTGAAGTTACATTTCTCCTTTGCCATTTGGCACAATATTTGTTAGTAGAGGCCTCTGAATGGGAATTAAAGAAAAAGGTGTTTCTTTTTGGAGTCCCAGTGTGCTTCTCTCAGCAGTATCCTACAGTAAGCTTGGCCAATAGCACCTCCTCTGACAACTTTTTCTGGTACTCCAGAGAGCAGCTTTCCAACAAGTACCACATGTGGGACAGCTGAAAGAACTCTGCTATCTACTCAAATCACAGCTGCACTGTCTTCAATGACGTCTGGATCTCAGCCCAGGGAAGGAGGGCCTCTATACCTTAAAAGATTCTGTCTTGTATTTTATTTACATATCGTTCATTCATACACACACACAATAGCTGCTATTCCTATATTATTTAGAATACTCTATCCCTTAACTGGGAGCTCTGGTGGCATAGTGCCTAAGGTATTTGACTGTTAACCAGAATCCCTCATTATTCCAGTTGTCACTATAATCTCAAACTTTCCCTGTTCAAATTACTGTGTGATTTGTTTCGACTGGGCACTAATAGTATGTATCTATAAGAGAAAAACATTCTGAATAAGTATTTGTATATACTTTAATTTGAAATCCATATTTAGAAGCATGAGAATAAGTACTGACAAGTTTCTCTTCAAAACATTTTTTAAATATTTTCGTTTATACTACATCTTTTAAAAGCCAAACTTCAGTTTTTATTGAACATGTTATTACCTGTCTTACATAATACAAAAGAAATCCAGAGTGCTAAGTTTCTCCTCCATATATGCTCCTCATTAACATATATTTTTGTATCTTAGTCCCCTCATCCTACCAAATTAGGATCCCATTTTATTTCTACACGCACTGCGTTGGCTAATCTATGTACATCACTTAATGTGCAAATTACATAAAAGTACTAGGAGTGCTCTTAGATTGAAAAGTTTTTCAAGTAAAATATACAAGAAGGTCCTACTGCTCTGAGGAAGGTAATGCCTCCTCCACCTTTCTTAGGATTATCACTTAGCATTCCTGTATGTCCTCCATAATCACAGGTGACTTTTCTGTTTTCCAGTAGTACCATTACAAATTCTAATGACCCTAACTGAAACTGACTCCCTCCTCCACTAAGCCAATATATGCACTGAGGGCAGGGTCTTTTAATTGTAACAACTAGTACTTATTAAGTGTTTCAAATGTGCCATGTTCTATGTGAAATACTTTACACATTATGTAATTCTTAAACAATCCCACAAGGCAGGTATTATTTTCACTTTACAGTTAAATTAAGATTCTGTAAAATTAGGAACTTGCCCAAAATCACAAAACAACTAGCAGAGGTCTAATTTAGAAACCATGTCTGACTCCATAAATAATATGTTTAATTACTCCTGGCTTTGTCTTTCAATGCCTAAAAGATGCTCAATTAATGTATTAATATGTTGAAATGATTAAGTAAGTTGGTATATCTGCTTTGAGGAAAAAAGCAAAGTATCTTCATAGATAAGAAGAGATATAATGTAAGCAAAACTAATGGACTGAGAGGAAGCACTAATGGCCTAAATTATTTAAGAGACAAGATGACTTAAAATCATTTTACCTAATTTCATTGGATCTTATCTAGTAAGACGTATTAGGGTTTATAGAAATTGCTTTTGTTCAAATTGTTGTCTTAACTCCTTTAAAAAGTGCAGCATCAAACAACCTTACCTCCAAACAGCTATCAATTGCTCCCTGCCAATTTGACATCTTCAGTTTACAAGCACCAATATTCAGCACACAGCTTAAAGCTATAGGTTGTAGCTTAGATCTATCTGCTTGCTCAATAACAGCCTTTGAACCTTCCACGTATCTGTAAAAATTATTATAAAAGTAGCATGTAATAGGTAGTAAGATTCTGCTTATTCAACTATGTCAAAAATATTATGTAATTTGACATGAAACCTTATTAAATGCTCATATTAATACTCTTAATGATCACAATCTTTATTAAATATGTGGGTTTTTTTTTCCCTTTAGTAAGTATTTTTCTCTTTTTTCAAAGTATTCAAAAAGGCCAATTTAAGAGCAACCCCCAAATCTAACAGCAATTACTGCACTAATAACAACACATTCCTATTTTTAAAACTCAGGTCTCATTATGTTAGAATGTATTCCAACATAATTATGGTTGGAACTAGGGTTCTCACCATGAAAGAAGGGAATAGAATGAGGAATAGTGAAGAACTACTCAGTAGTACTGACTTTGAATTGTATTAGTATAATTAATGTAGTTCCTAGCTCTGTCCACTTAAACAGCCCAGAAACAAAGAGCACACTGAACCCCAATTTTGGTTTCTAAAATCTATACTTCACTGAAAAAAATCAGGGCTCCTTTAAAAAAACGCTAATACCTGACATGAAAGCAAGGATAAGATAAGCCTAGAACATACTGTGTCAGAAAACAAGCAAATGCTCACTGACTAATGGGAACATGTTAAGAGAATTCAAGAGCCAGACAGAGGGAGCTTTCACTGGACAAATCTGATCATAAAGATTAGTAGTATATTAAAAGACTGAAAACATCCACTGATTCATCAAACCAAGCCTATTGTCACTTAGTCAATTCTGACCCACGGTGACCCCATGTTTTACAGAGAGCCGAGCTCCGTAGGGTTTATAAACCAAAACCCAACCCACTACCACTGACTTGATTCTAACTCATGGTTACCCTATAGGACTGAGTAGAGATGCACTAGAGGGTCTCCAAGGCTGTAAATCTTTACAGAAATAAACCTTTGGTTGGAGCCTAATGGTTTAACCACAGTGTCACCAGAGCTCCGTAAGTTTATAATAATACTAAAAGGTGGAAAAGGGAACATTTCAAACAGAAGAATGCCAGCTAATAACTATAAAATGAGTAAGGTTAGAAAATCACAGTTCTGCAACCATCAACATAATAACTGATTCAGGCAAGGATTGCCAGTGATACTAAAACCACTGAGTGAAAGGCTGCTGTAGACTGGATATTTACACAAATTCACAGTAACACCTCATGGGCTATTTATTAATAAACATCTGATGATACCATTTTAACCAAGGGCTCAAACACAAAATATGCCAGACTGTTGTATGCTTTTTAGATATGATGTCACAGAGAATTTAGAGTATCACTTACCTAAGTCCTCCTGACAAAATATTTAACCTCGATCTAATCTTGAAGAAACAATAAAACATACAAATAGTATTCTAGAAAACAATTTACCTGGGTGCCAATAAAATGTTAATATCATGAATGACTGAAAAAAAAATAGAGGGGCTATTAAAGATTAGAAGAGACTAAAAAGGCATTGCAAGTGGTACAATGAATGATCCTGGGTTGAACCATGTTTTTTTCTGTTAAAACAATTGGAGAAATGTGACTATAAATTCCTTATTAGGTAATATTCTATTAATGTTATTTTAGAGTTACTACAATGGTATTAAGGATATTGGAATGTCCCTGTTTCTAGGAAATACATGCTAAAATATTTAGGAGTTAAGTGTGATAGTATTTGCAACTTCATTTTGAAATGCTTCTGCAATAACAAATACAGCAAAAGTTAAATACAGATGAATATAAGTCAAAAGTATGAATATTCATGTATTGTCTTTTTTTTAATTTGGAATTTTTTCCAAATAAAAAGTTGACAGCAACAAGAAATGCAGTTATCCCAACACACCTGGTTACACTCCAAATAATTTTCTAAAATTACAGTGAACTTTCAATTTGTTTGTCATTTAATTTACAAGTTCTTAAAAATGACTGATTTAAAACATCTTATTACCTTAAAACTTTTGCATATTTCTTCATGGCCATCTCCCAGTTCTGGGATTTAAAAAAAGTATTTCCAATGTTTTTTATGTCTTCTGTTATCAGTAAAATTTTATTTACCTGTATAAAAGAAAAGTACAAATGTGTTGGATTTTTGTAGATTATGTGGTTTTTACACTTGGTTTTGTCACTTGTACAGATTGACACAAAAAATATTTTTAGTGTGTTAAATAATTAAAGTTTGACCAATCTCAAAGTACTCACATCTTTTAAATCTGTATCTGCATCCTCAGGGAAATCTGGATGACTGTCACTAGAGCCATCTTTTGGGAATATTCCCCAGTCTTCCCCTTCTTTTAATTCTCCGCATTCTGCAATAACGCACAACTGTAAAAATAATCCTAAATTGTAGAAGTGTGCTACCATAGTAATAAAAAATAAAAAACAGTCTGAGTTTACAAAGCTATACATCCAAGTCACTTCTAAAACTAGATTTATGTAAGGAGACTCATTTATCTATTGAATTACAATGTTGTTGTTGGTTGCTGTTGGTCAATTATGACTCAAAGTGACCCTGTGTATGAAAAGAACTGTGCTACATAGTGTTTTCAAGGCTGTGGCCTTTCAGCAGCAGATGGCCAGGTCTAGGTAGTTCTGAACTGCCAACCTTTTAGCCAGCAGTCAAGCATTTAACCGTTAGCACCACCCAGGGATGCCTTTTATTGTAATGCCCATTTATAAACATTGCAAATGACACATCATCATTATTTACAAAACCATTTATTGCTATTCAGGAGCTCACTGGATACAGAATAAATTGAAAATTTTATCATTTTCTATGTAATTTTCTTTAGGTGAGACATGTGCTTTCAGTTTAATACTGTTCCCATTATGTACTAAAGGTAATTGAATTTCCACCTCCCACCCACAAACCTGTCAATTAAGCTGGATTTTTATGACCATCTTGATGCAGTCAAGATTTTTAAGAGATAATCTAAACTGTTCAGTAGTTTATACAGGATAAGGAAACAGACCAAATGAAGTTAAACAAAGATCAAGGCTAAACAACTAGTTAATGGCAGAGGACAGACAGGATTCTAAGTCTCCTGTTCTCTTTCTACTACAGACTACTATACATACTGACTCAAAATTCTGCAGATATGGTAAGATTTAAGCAATAGGTCAAAGATCACCATGATTAAAACTGAAATAAGAATTAAAATCTCCCTAAAAACTACCTTAATCTTTCCCATTATAGAAAACAGTTTCAAAGAAAAAGCCTGGCATATCCAGATTCCTACATTAAAAGTCAACATTTTTCCCAGCTAATAATCACCTAATCTTTTTATTTACATTTCCTTAAGATAACAGCTAAAACATTAAGTGTATTTGCTGTAACTTTTTACTTACTTTGGCAGGTTTTTCACCTTTCACTTCTACATTTTCCAGTATCTTTGCCACACCCATTCCTTTAATTACTTGGCCAAATACCACATGTTTCCCATCCAAATGAGGAGTTGGAACTGTTGTGATAAAGAACTGAGAACCGTTTGTATTGCGTCCTGCATTTGCCATGCTCAATAAACCCTCCTGATCATGCTGTAAGAATAAAAATTATGGAAAGAAAACTGAGATTAGAGGCGCTATTAACTGATCTCTTACTAACTACCACTCACAGAAAACTTAGGGTAGACTGTAATACCGTTTACACCAAACAATGTAAGGTAATTTTACTTCATACAAATTGCAACCTTTAATTCACAAAACATGGAATAATCCGTTTTCAAACTTTAAGCAAAGCTTATAAAACCAAATAAAATAACATGAACAACAGCTAGGGTGGGGTGTTATTCTATATATTTCATTGTTAAAGATGCTAGATTAAAGAAATCTAATAGTGTATTTTGCCCTTTCTATAATTCTTTTTTTTCTGACAAGACATGAACAGTCTTCCACACTTAGGGGCCTACATTATGATTCTTATTTTACACATCAATACACTGGAAACAGTCATGGGATACTGAACTTACAGAAGACATTCAGTTAGGTATTTCCCTAACTTCAGAAAGAATCCCACATTATAGCTTTAATCCCCACTTCAAAATCTACCTTGGCATGAATGTGTTCAAAGGTTCTGTGAAACCCAGTCTCTTCATCTATTCACTTTATCGCTTCAGTTTTTTAAATGTATTCCTTGTTGGTCCATGCATTATAATGTTCATGTTAGTCTACCTAAAATGCCTTCTGCCCCTCTAATCTAAATCTAATTCAGTTTTCAAGGCCACCAAGTTTATAGAAATACCACGTACCTTTTCTATAGGGTCCTTTTCCTTTTATCAACCTGATCACCACTACTACTTGTTTTCATTATTCTGGTAGCTTCCTCTGTTTAGAGGTTTTCCCACACCATTTACTAAAATATTAACTTATTTCTTCAGTTTCCCACTGCCTTTGTCTTCCATCTATACTTACTATGCAATCAAAACCAAACTACTCTGCCTAACCAAATCTCAGCCACTTTGCAAGGCTGTCCAGTAATGGAAGAAGTATCCATTCTTCCTCAATGTCTTACCTAGTAATTTGAACATACTAACAACACCTTCCTCCTGTGGTATATACCAAAAGTATCCACTGATTTAGCATGTGTTGCATAGTGTTATATTATTCTCCAGTTGGCCCATGTGTTTTAATCTTATCTCCCCAATAAGAGTAGAAATTTCTTATTATCAAAGCCTTTCATTTTTTTATAAACCCTTTGGTGCCAGTGACAGTACTGAGCATTACAGCTGCTGTCAATAAATACTATTTAAAAGATTTATGACATTTTCTTTTCAAATTATCCTAATTACCTTGCTCATATTCCTCAATGCCAAAGTTATCATTTTATTTTTATACTTACATGTCCATTCTTATAACTTCAATGATGCAATATACCCCGATTACATCTTGGGACAATGAAGATAAGGCTCAGGCACCACTAATGTCCTTTAGGAGCTTTGACATTAACCATATCCGCTAGTTTGCAAATCCCCTTACATCTGGATATTAGCGATGGTTTTGTTGCTCTTCAAATTCAAGGATAAAGATGCATAAAGTTACCATCCTTACCATAATGAGAACATTTTTCCTGGAAACAATTTTACCATATGGTGGCTGTATAGGCAGTTCCTGGATTACAAACAAGATCTACTCCTAACTGTGTCTTTAAGAATTTGCAGGTAAGTCAGACCAGGAGCATATGGTTGTTATTTAGCTTTACTTTAGCAGAAAGAAAGGGCTTACAAATTTTTCAATGATTAAAAGCTGCATGTGCAGCAAGTGAAGGTGACTGCAATAAAGAATCTATTACGAATAGGGGTTGGCATTGGTTCAATCATTTAAAGTGAGGGCAAATTTACTTAGCACTAAAGCAGGGCTTCAAATAGGTGAGTACAAAAAGAGTGCTGCCCTGCTCAAAGACAACAGCCAACTGCACCACTCTCACTGGGTGTGGATCTCCACAGCTCTATCAATATCCAATCAGGCTTCTGAAAAGGCTCACTATGTCTCTTCTGAGTCTTCCATTTCAGGGTTTCTGTTCCTGTTCAGTTACTGTCACAAATCATCCAAATTGTAAAACTTCAGGTCTGCTCCTACTTTACTTTGTCAGCCACAGCAAAACCAGTTTGAAGCCCAGTATTAAAGGGCAAGTAGGAGTTGTACATAAATCAGACATTCGAAACCTGAGGACTGCCTGGTACTTAAAAATTCACTGGCTTCAATAAAGCATATAAGAACTGGGTCACAATGAAATAACTGTAATACTTATGCCAAATAAAATCACTACCAGATGAACATTTTCCATACTAAAGATGCCTATTTATAAAAATACACACATCTTTTACAAAAGAATGTTAGCACACAAGACATTTATTGGCATAGTAACCTTTTTACTAGCAATAAACATGCATTTTCTTCTACTTTACCTTATAATAGAAATTTTCATCTTCAAATTTTTCACCATAAATACTTTCTCCACCTGTCCCGTTCTGATTTGAGAAGTCTCCACCCTGAATCATGAATTTCTTAATAACTACAAAAAAGGAAAATGCCTATTAGACCAGGAAATGGATAACTTTGGCAATGGCAACTACCAAGCCAAAAACCAAACTCACTGCCATTGAGTCGATTCCAACTCACAGCAACCCCCACTTTGGGTTTCCGAGGTGACAAATCTTCACGGAAACAGATTGCCCAGACTTCCTTCCACGGAGTGGCTGGAGGGTTTGAACCACCAACCTTTAGGTCAGTAGTCAAATGCCTTAGGCACTACACCACCAAAGCTCCTTAATGTCAACTAAGTACTGTATTAATGAAGACAACATCCTAAAATGTGACTTGAATCACATCACTCTCCTGTTTGTTTCCCCCAATTATCCCCACAACAACTCCAAACTCTTAAGCCTTTCCACAGTCTGAGTCTGACCTACGTGCATGTAACCCTGATCTCCCATTAACTCTCAAAGATTTAGTTCAAATTGTACCTCCCTTACAAAATTGTCACAGAAACTCCAAAGTTGGAGCTCCTAATTTTTTTCCCCACAATATCTCAACTCTAGTTCTATTTCATAACATAGATTATAATGATCTGTCTCTTTCAGCACACAGTGAACTTTAAATACAATGGCTGTTTTTCATCCTTCTACCTATGGACAGGGATGAGTACATATTACTTAATGATGTCTGCTGAATAACGACCAATTATTCCCAGTAGATTTGTTACATCCTAATGGAAATACTTCACCAAGTATTTTCACTTTGTGTCAAGTTCCCAAGACTACCCCCATGTTCAGAGATTCCCTAGGACCCATGAGACTTATCATTTGCTTAAATTACAGTGACTTAATAAGGATACACAGCCAGGCAAGGGCAAGAGACCCATGTACAGTCTGGATGAAACCATGTATAGGCTTTCTTATGCTCTCTCCCTCCATAAAGGGTCACATAGAGCACACTCTTCCTCCAGGAATAAAAATGCAGCAACATATGTTCAGTGTTTCTACCTAGGGAAGCCCAACGGAGACTCGGTACCCAGGTATTTATTAGAAGCTGATCACACACACGCTCTCTGCCTAGCAGGTACCAAGTTCCAGAATCCCATAAGAAAGCAGATGTTCACATACATTGTTTACATAGTCCAGGCACAGTAAATCATTTTTATCATTTAAGAATTGACTCCAGTTCCAAGGTCCCAGACACCAGCTAAGGGCAACCTTGCAAGCCAACATTTCTAATGATAGTCTGGGGCCTGCTATTAATTCTGGCATATTGCCTAAGGCATCTGCTAGTCAGCGAAGGCTGGTGGTTCAAACCCACCAGCCACTTCTCTGAAGGAAGATTGGGCAATCTACTTCCGTAGGGATACCGCCTCGGAAACCCAAGTAGGGATCGCTATGAGTCGCAATCCATGCAACAGCAGTGAGTTTTATTAGAATATTTTGGTATTTTATTAAATATAAAAGTAAGTCAAATTAACAACTTATATGATATTTAAAAATTAATGCTAATTTTTTTTATTCAAGTTTATATAAAAAGAAATGTGTGAGAATTAGAGGACTGGTGAAGCTAGAGTACTCCATTTCTTTATGAAAAAAAACTTTAGTGCCCTCCCACAATACATGAAAATGAAGCTTTTAGTCATTAATTCCACCTCTCACAGCCCAAGTTTCATGGAAATCAAGCTATACTGCCTCAAATGTCAAAGCATCCTACAGGATACTAACGTACTTTCAACCTTCACCCCTACTTAATGTTTCCTTTCCTAACTCCTATGAAACAGGATTTGATTATGTACTTGAAGAATAATCAGATTCAGAACATTTACACATACTTCGATGGAAGGGGCATCCTTTGAAATGGAGAGGTTTCCCAGTTGTGGATCCAATGCCTTTTTCTCCCGTACATAACGCACGAAAATTTTCTGCAGTTTTAGGGACAATATCTGCAAACAATTCTAAGACAATTCGACCAACTAAAAGAAGAGAAAATGGAAATCTTGTCAGTAAACAAAACAAGCAACCAAATGAGTAAATGATAAAAGAACAGTTAGTACAATTATGGTGAGTGAGATTACTCATGAATACTCAAGTTCCTTTTTTGGGCCATTTTTCTAATACTCAAATTTAACGTAAAGTGTCACATATCTAGACTAATTTGAAACAATACTTTTTCGGCAGCACAGAAAGAATCATTTGCAATGTGAATATCCAGCAGATTAGCATCATATAAGGTTCACCATGAAATACAAATGGTTTAAAGTTCTGACCAGTTTCTTTGAATGTACGTAGAATTTCCAATCACCAAGTAACCAACTGAAGAAAACTTTAAGAATCCAGGTTGGCCACGTTTTATGTATAACTGCAGTCTTTGTGCTCTGTGGAAGCTGCCTGAGGCAAAAACTAAAAAAGTTCCCCTTCTAAACAACTCCTAAGGCAGATGAAAATAAAACTTAGCACTAATTCCAAAACAAACTCAATGTAAGCATAAATGTGAATGTCTGTGTACAAGGTCTCTGAATCCGGATATACCCTAATTGATGAAGGTGGTTTACTGTGCATATATGCATATATATGCATATAAGCATTCAAACGTACAGCCTGGCCAGTCATGCTAATAACATGTTCCAGAACAAGAACATTTCAGTTACAAAGCAACACTCCTTCATAAGCTCTTAAAACTTGGCCGTTATATAACCTAGGCAACTACGTTGCTACACTGAACTCATTTCTCCAATGCCAAATTGTTCCTCTATATGACTAGATCCGTAAATTAAGAATCAGTTAGAAAATAAAGAAGTTAGCAAGCAACTAGCTTTAATTTAAAAATAATATGGCAAGTATTGATTTATTTAGTATGGCAAAAGATATAGCGTGCCTGGGGTGCAGCACTGTATGTCTGCATATTCCCAGGGCTTTCTGAAATGTCCCAATGCAGACATAAAATAATAAGATGCCAACTCATGGCACAAGGTGGCGGGGAGCTGCAACCAGACAAGGGGAGGCTGAAGCCCAAAGACCGCCACAATCTCTAAAACAGAAATATCCAGAAACTTTCTCGGCAACCGACCGCACTGGCACAAAGGCGCTGATTCGACTCTGCCCTGCATGCCCGAGCTTGTTTCGGAGGCCCGGTCTGGGCAGCGATACTTTCTGGACCACCAAGATGCCCCGGCCTAAGCTGTGCCTCACCCCCAAGGGTCCCCGGAACCCCAGGAAACCCCGCCTCCTTGGGGCCCTCACGGGGTTTGCGGACTCCGCTTACCTCGCTCCCCTCCGATGTCCACATCAAAGAAGACTCGGGGGTTGCTGGGGCTGGAGGGCTTAGCTTGGGGAGACGGGTGCGACATCTTTGCTTCCACACACGTTTACAAGAGAGCTCAAAACACCTCGTGGCCCGCAGACAACCCAAACCTCACAGCTCTTCCCTCCACTGAGCGTGCTCGGCGATGACGACAAGCCACTTCCGCCTCGAGGTCTGGGAGCCGCCCCCCGACTTCCGCTGTCGGTGCCCCGCCCCAGCCGTTTACAAGCACTGCAGCAGACTGGTAGTGATCCGGCCGTTCATTATGCAGTAGGTCCTTCTGGTGGCTTGCTCCAGTTCTCTCCCGTCGCCCTCCTCCAATTAACCATCTTTTCTTATTTACTGGGAGTACAACTCTAATCATTTTTACTGTTTTCTTGTGTTCTGTCCATTTTCCTACTATCGTGATGTGGAAGAGCTTTGGAAACAGATTCCAGCCTCGGCTCTGCCACTAACTAGAGTATGACGTACACGAAAAGCAATGTGCTCCTCTGGAAATTGGGAGTAAAAATGCTTACATCGGAGAGTTGTTTTGAGAATTAAAAGCATTAATCACGTAGCACAATGTTTGAAACAAATGGTGGTAGCTAATAATTGCCATATTGTCATTCTTTAGTCTTCACTTTACGGAAGTACAGGTTAGATGAAAGGCATCAGACAGCTAAAGCTGAGTTCAGAATGAAACACGATTTTGATTTCTGATAAAAGTTCATTACTGTAGGCCAATTTTCCCGTACGCGAATTTGTGTAAAATGTTTATTCATATGAGAACATATTAATAAAGACTAGTTTTGGAGGAAAGCGGTATGTTTCCTATGTAGATGAATTGATCTTCAGTCCTGTGGAAGCCCAGCAATTTAGATTCAACTTACCTTATCAATAAGGCATAAGATATCCTTCCAAATACCCAACTCACTGCCATGTGGTGGATTCTGACTCAGTGACCCTATAGGACAGAGTAGAACAGCTCCATAGAGTTTCCAAGGCTGTAAATCTTTACCAAAGCAGGCTACATCATTTTCACCCCACTGAGTGACTGGTGGGTTCCAACAGCTGGCATCCTGGTTAGCAGCAGAATGCTTTAACCACCGCATCACCAGAGCTCTTTATGTGCCTGAATTTCCATATCAGCAAGTAAAAACACCTGATAGGCGAAGGAGGGTGGTGTTTGCACGGGAAGATGGCTCAAGGGGCAGTAGTACATGGAAGGCAAGGATACAGGTTAGCAGTAACAATGCAGAGGAGGTGGGAAAACAGCTGTTACATCATGGGGAATTGCAGTCAATGTCATGAGACAAAATGTGTATGGACTGCTATATGGAAAATGAATTTGCTCTGTAAACTTTCACCCAAATCAATAAAAATTAAGAAAAAAAAAAACTGATATTTGAATATAGCACTCAGAGTGTCTCAAAAGCCAGGAGGCTTGTGTGAAGTAGTCATTGGCAGCAGTCACAGTAGCTTCGAGGAGAGAGATAAAACCTTATATCCTGCTTGCAGCCTGGTTTCAGGAGATACAAAAGTTAGAAGGATGATGGTTAAAGAGCAACCAGGTTCCCACTCTCAAGTTGTTGTTAGTTGCCTTGGAGTCCTCTCTGATTCATGGTAGCCTTATATATAACAGAAGGAAACCTTGTCCAGTCCTGTGCCAACCTAACAATCACTGGTATGTTTGAACCCATTGTTACACCCACCTTATCCGTCCAGCTCATGGAGGATTTTCCTTGTTATCGCTGACCTTCCACTTTACCAAATATGATGTTCTTTTCTAGTAACTGATATTTCCTGATTATATATCCAAAGTAAGCAAGATGAAATCTCGCCATCCTTCCTTCTAAGGAGCATTCTGTCAGTTGGTCATACTCTGGTGGCTTGCATGTTGCAGTGAGGCTAGAGGTTATGCCACCAGTATTTCAAATACAGCAGGATCACGCAAGATGGACAGATTTCAGTGGAGCTTCCAGACTAAGACAAACTCAGAGGAAGGAAGGAGCCAACCACCACTCAGGGGATTGCCCAGTGAAAACCTTATGAATAGCAGTGAAACACTGTCTAATATGTTACTGGAAAGCTTTATGAAACACTTTCTAATATAGTGCTAAAAGAGGAGCCCCTCTGGTCAGAAGGCAGTCGAAATACAACTGGGGAAGAGCTGCCTCCTCAAAGTAGAGTCAACCATAATGACCTGGGTGGAGTAAATATTTCAGGACCTCCATTTGCTGATGCGGCATGACTCAAAATGGGAAGAAACAGCTGCAAACACCCATTAATAATTGGAACATGGAATGTATGAAATATATCATGCCTGGTAAAGTGGAAGGGCAGCAAAAAAGGGGAAGACCCTCAACAAGACGATTGACATAGTGGCTACAATGATGGGCTGAGGTGTACCAAGGATTGTGAGAATGGCGCACAACCAGGCAGTGTTTTGTTCTATTGTACAGAGGGTCGCTGTGAGTTGGTGCAGACTCAACAGCACCTAACAACAACAACATGATGGAAGCTATGCTATTGTTGTTGTTGTTGTTGCTACTGGTATTTAAATATGAGCAGAGTCATTCTGTCATGCTGACAGGTTTCAGCAAAGGTTCTAGATTAAAACAGACTAGGCCTGGCGATCTACTTCCAAAAATTAGCCAATGAAAACCTTATGGATGATAACTTGAAGGGGCTGGCAACATTATACACTGGACTGAGTGCTAAACTAGATCTAAAATAAAACCAACAAACTCAAGTTTTGAGTACAGTATTCACTGCTGTTGTTGTTGTTAGGTGTCATTGAGTCAGCTCCAACTCATAGTGACCCTACGTACAACAGAACAAACCACTGCCTGGTCCTGTGCCCACCTCACAATACTTACTGTACCAAACCCTGAGTAGTGCAGTTAAGTGCTCAACTACTTACTGAAAGGTTGACAATTTCAACACATCCAAAGACATCTCAGAAGGAAGGCCTGGCAATCTGCTTTCAAACAACAACAGCCTTTGCAGTGAATTGCTTGATGTGGCCCTTCTAGCCATTGTCCTCCATTTTGTGATATATTGTAAATCCTATTATCCATGCCTGTTTAAGGTGGTGTGGTAGTTAAGGTCGTATATCAACTTGGCAGTGCAGCAGGTAGAAGTCATTCCCTATAATGACTGGCAATTGGCTCTGTGGTGGAAATTGCTGTGAGCAACTGAGTAGCTGCTTTTGAACTCCTGATTGATAAAATCATCCACTTGGGATATGTCTGTTGGAGCAGCATGAAGTAACCAAAACAGGTGGGATGTATCTTGAGTCCCACCTTGCTGGAGGGGGTAACTCAAATCACCATCCTTAGCTTCCTTCTGTGTATACATAGGAATCTTCTGGGAAGTTTCGCTCTCCATCTTGCTCTGGTTCTGCGTTTTGGCCCATTGTCATCTTATGCCTGGATTTGAGACAGCAGCCATCATCTGATCTGCTGATTTAGGCTTGTCAAAGCCCGGGAATCCTCCAGACCTACTTACAGACCTGGGACTTGCCAGCCTGCCAGCCTCCCAGCCTCCACCATCACTACGTGAGATGATCCCTTGGGTGTCTGTGAGTTCTGTGAGATGTTACAGTGAAATACAGAACCATAACACAGGAGGGGAGATTACTGAGAGGAGGAAGAGTTAATGTCTGAAATGATGGAGTGGCACAGTAGTTTGGACATTGGGGATGTCTTCAACCTCGGCCTCATGGGGACCAGCCTTGTGCTGATCTTTGTAAGAGAAATTATTCAAGCAATTGGTGTCAGAATGGTGGGATTTGCTGCAATGGCCCAGACTCACTGGAATATACGGTTTTGGAAGAAAGAAGATAAAAGAGAAAGTAAGAAACCTTTGGCTTCTGGATTGGATTAAAAACACCCATGGATTGAACTATGCATAAAAAATACATACATATATACTCAGGCCCACATAGATACTTAGCAAAAGTTGATTTATTTATAGAACAAATATTTATTGAGCTCTTACTATATGCTAGGTACTATTCTAAATGCTGATAATACAATGAGAAAATAAAAACAGTCTTTATCCTTAACTACACAAATATTAACAGTCTAAAGACAGTTGAATCAAGCTATGACAACACAATGATTAAGCATTCGGCTGCTAAGCAAAAGATCACAGGTTTGAACCTACTAGGAGCACCACAGAGAAAAGGCCTGATGATCTGCTCCCATAAAGATGGCAGCCCAGAAAACTCTATGGGACATTTCTACTGTCTTGTAGGGTTGCTATGAGTCCGAATCGATGTACTGCACACAACAACAACAACATACAATGAAGTGTGCTTAGTGCTCTCATAAGGAAAGTACTATTACATTCAGTACACAACAGAGGCACTGAACACAGGAGCTTTTATTGAGATTAGAAGTATGTAAAGTTCAGTTGGGGAGTGTATGTGACATGTGGGAGGAGTATAGAGAAGGCAAGTGTTCAGAGTAGACGAACCAATATTCTTGTAAAGTGAAAATATACAACACAACCATGAGAAGTCTGGAGTCTTCCTGGTTTGCAGTCTTCACTGTTTTTTCCTCCCTGACAAGCCACTTTTTCAGATGGTGTTTTAGCTTCAGGATGGTTGATTTCAGTGCATGGCTCAGACACTATGCTTGGTTTTTATCTTTGTCCACATTTTCTTCATATTGAATTGTCAAGATGAGAAACAGTTTTATAACTCTGCCCACTTTATCCCTGCAGTAGAAAGGAAAAGGAACAATGAAAAGAAAGAACTCAAAAGGTATCTCTAGGAGGCGGGGCAAGATGGCGGACTAGGCAGAAGGATTGCACAGACCCTCTTCAACAAAGAAAAGGGAAA